TATGCGGGACACCCGTCTTGAGTATTACGTTCAAAAACATTATGGATCTTTTTTTTATGATTTGGACGGTCCACCAAATTGAATTTGATTTTGTTTACATGTAACCGAGTCTAGATTTTGCCCTTTCCTTAACAAATTCGTCTGTTTCTTATTCGTTTAAGTTTTTTTCTCGTAGGCATAATTAGGGTTTTGACACGATAACTCTTTCAATGGAATTAACTTTATTTGATAACATTATGAAAAAAAATGTGTGTGTGTGTGTTTCAATTCATGCATCTACTTGATAGGTTGGAAGTTTTGTGGTATACTTTATATGATTTGTGTATTCCTATAAGAAATTTATTGTAACAGATTAGACATTAAAAAAAACAATGAATATAAAGGATCGCTGCATTAAAACACGGACCAATAAAAAGACCATTAAAAGAATTAGAAAAATAATTACAAGTTCGTCGTCAATCAGAATCTCATTCTGGCGAAAAACAAATGAAAATGCGTTTAAATTAGTAGACCGACGGTTTAAATATTGATGATTTCTATGCCATATTTCCATATATATATATATGTAGGTTTTGAATTATAATTACTAAGATAAAATAATAAAAAAAATATTTAGAATTTACTAAAACACGTATCAAATCGTCCGACGAACGTGTCTTGTGGTTCGCTTTTAATAATAATAATAATAATATAAAAAAAAATTAAAGTGGAAAAGACAAAGTAATGAGGCTATGGTGATAGAATGGCATCGTCGGAGGCAGCAGGGCTAAACCATCTTTTAATTATGAAAACTGCAAATAATTTTCAGATGCCGAAAAGGAAATATTTCTTATTTCCTCTTTCATGATAGGCGAAGGAGAGAGGTCTGCCCAATAATTATACACACATTATATGAATATGAATATGAATATGCATAAAACATTATTCTAGGGGTTTGTAGCTAACAGAGCAGCAGAAGGAAACAAACAAAAATCTTTGAGTCTCATTTATAATAAGAAAAAATACCTGAAAATTCTTTAACTTGTAATTTGGTATAATATTAATTCATTAATTTGTAGGTACGCCGATTTATTCCCAAACTTGTATTTTTTAACACAATAATTCATAAACTTATTCAACAGTTCTATAATTGTCCATTATACCACTAATTGACTAAAGCAAAGTTTATGAATTACTATGTTAAAAAATGCAAGTTTAGGAATTACTGTGTTCAGAAATGCAAGTTCAATAATTATTGTATTCAGAAATGCAAGTTCAGTAATTACTGTGTTAAAAAATGCAAGTTCAGGAATAAATAGACGCACTTACAAATTCGTAAATTAATATTACACCAAATTATAAGTTCAGAAATTTTCAGGTATTTTTTCCTAAAAATAATAATCATATAATACTATTACATCAAATTATAAACCTTTTTAGATGAAATTTGGTTTATTATTTGGTTAGATAATTAGTATCATCTTATCTTACACATTATATAAAGATCGAGTCTTAAACTATGGTATTCGAGGCATCTTTTCTTTCAAACCAAATCAAATACTTATAAGCTGAAATCATATAAATTTTGGACATTTTTCTGGGTTATATAGCTCTAAAGTTGTTTAAACTCAATGCCGATATAATTTATAGATTAATTCAATGTTTTCTGTAACCTTGAGATCTAGTTTACCTCCAACAGGATAATTAACTAATCAATTAATTATACCAAAAAAAAACTAATCAATTAATAAAAAGGTTATATAATTAAGCCAGATGAACAAATTATATGAAATGAACGAATGCAATAAAACAAATGCATGCATGCATGCATGTATGTATATATATATTTGTCGCAACAGCTTTAAACATTCTTCTGTCTCTTTGTTGTTTGCACGACGGTCCTCAAATGTCAGCGATATAGATTCATCACTATTTTGCAGCTAGCTGCAACATTTTTAGTGTAGTTCTGTGCCTATCTGTCTTAGACACACCACCCTACGTCTTTACATACATACATATATATACACCCTATATACATACACACACGTATATATATGCATGTATACGTGAATACTCGTTATACCCTCTCCTCCATTCACAAATTTATTGCACAGTAAATATAACATACTTGGATTTACATGAGACGATATATTCTAAAATATTTATCTTCAAATTTCCGGATTATAAAAAAAAATCTAAAAAAATGATTTATGTATCTCATGGAATTCTATATATCATTCACTGCTGGAATTCCATCTGGAAACTATAGGCTTGTCGGCCGATTAATATTTATGCTTATTGTATTATATATATAAACCTTTTGAATATATTATATAATCGGCATGCGTTAATTTGTGTGCGAGACACACATATATACACACATACATATATATATATGTGCCTATTTGCATATATGGACGTGGAATCCCGAGATAAATCGTAAAGGAAAGATACGGGACGGATGCGTCTATGCTTTATTTGTGTGTGTGTGTGTGTGAGAGAGAGAGAGAGGGAGAGAGAGAGGGAGAGAGAGAGAGAGAGAGAGAGAGAGAGAGAGAGAGAGAGAGGGAGAGTTTCTCTTGTTCTCTTTTGCTAGTTATTTACCACTTCTCTTTTGTTCTCTTTCTCAAAATCTTTCACATCGGTTTTTCGCTCTCTCTTTGGACAGTGAGTTGTTCACATCATTTGTTCGTGATGGAGCCTCCATTTTTATTTGTTGATTTATTTTTCTTTAATTAAACATCGTTGTTTAGCTTTGAAAAAGTATATGAACTTTTGATGCCAATAATATCTAAGGAAATATAACCATTTTTTTTTCTTCATACACTATATTATACACTGTAATCACCGCGCGTTAATTCAAACATTAGCACTTAATTTCCGCTCCTCTAATAACCAAATACGTTTAAACAAAAAAATATATATGTTTAATTTCCATTAAGGTCTTTTAATTGTTTTTCGGAGTATAACAAAGATGATATATATATGTAAAGACCCGACCGTACGTACGCGTGTCCAATACGTATTCAGGTTAACCAAATAAAGTGAGACAAATGTAGAAACCATAGTTCGAAGACACATATAATATGTTCTTCTCACTTGAGATCAGATCCAATTTCTTACACTTTGGTCTTTTCAACAGCATAACCTACCTTCACAAAAAAAAACTCTAGTCTACAAAGGCATGCACAGGTCAACAAAAAAATTCACTTTAATATAAATAATATATATATATATATTAAAGAAATGGAACACAGTCACTGTTTTTTTTTTCGTCCAAGTAAAAGTTTCTATATCAGCTAGAGAGAGAAAGTAGAAGCTAGTTTTTTAGGGTTCTACACAAATCATGAAAATTTTAACCCTAAATTAATTAAATTTTCCTCTCTCTCTCTCCTCTTTTTGCACATCTATCTCTCAGAAATTTTGTACTTGCGGCACCTGAATTCATGATTCGAGAATCATCGAGCCCGTGACTTCACGTAGCTAAGCTGTCAAACCCTACACACTCCTAATTAAAATTCACAAGATTAATATAATTCAAGAGATTTATTAGAAAAAAAAACTTATAGATTTGTACAACGCTAGCGGTTTGTTTCCGCATGCTTTGTCCTCTTGTCATATCTAAGATGTTTTTTTTTTATAAATTGTTTTTTTGGGGATTCTTCGCTGCGGTGAAAGATTTATGTGATCTAGCGATCTTTAAAAGATCTACTTCACTAATGAGTAAAATTCCACTTAAACAGTAGCTTATTACGCACATGCGATCCGTTGACCCATATCATCTTGGGATCTATAATTTGAACTCGGATAATTTCTCGATTCTTTTGCTGCAAAATGGTCAGGAAACAAGAAGTAACAGAGATGAATCCACATATGTTAAGGGCGTTGCCTCTCTTGTATAAGCATGGACCGGACCATAAATGTCTCAGAAACGCATACACATATGCATATATATATATATATATATATATATATATATATTGTAAAAAGCGTGTTAATATGTAAGCCATATGTACGTACGTACAATCTCTGTGGCCATTAATTTTACAGTACCCTGGCCTTACTCTTTGTTTTATGGTCGGTATCTGATTATATTTCAATCCTACTAATTTCTTAATTATTGGTTATTATCCGTTCTTTTTTTGTCAATCGTTTCAAGAAAAACGATCCTTATGTACATCCCTTTTCTGTTGTATGGTAATTTCTTATGTAAATCCCTTTTTTGTCAATCTTTTCTGTTGTTTTACACAAAAGTTTTTGTAAAAATTAAAAAAAAAAGCAAAAAAAAAAGCCTTAAATGTATTAGTCTTTGGTAATTATCCCATGTAATGTGATTAGTGTTATCCCTTTCTTTTTTTTTCTACGATGGCTTTTGTCTTGACGGGTTAACCCTTGGTCCAGTAATCAATTTACATAAGGAAAAAAAATTAAATAGAAAAATTTTAAAAATGACAATTGAATTTGAAACAAGAAGAAGCTGAAAAATGGGAAAGGGGACTTTTACTAGTTAGGGGTATTCAGTTTGGATGCAACTGTCTCCGTCTCAATCTAGTTCCTTATTACAATTTTGGAACATTTTTTTATTTAAATTTTGATTTTAAATTACACAAAAGCAAACACCAACACCCATAAAATCATTTCTCCAATCCTCGCAATGTCAAGCCAAAGTAGCTGAGAGTGTAATAGTTGTAGATGAGCTCAGAAAAGGCTGATCCAATCTCAGTACATATGTTGCAATATCATTACATACATACATACAAACCCCTCTCTCTCTCTCTACATATATATATATATATATATATATATAATATCCTCTATTTCAATAAAGCTTTTGTTTTTCTTTAACTTAATCTCTTGCCCCATGTACCCATGAATGGAAACTTTGTTAAACTTTGTTAAATGCATTGACTCATCGTTTTCATGGTACGGGCCTTTGCGATCCGCTCAATATGATCGAACAGTTTTCAATAATAAAACATTCAATGGACAACGTTAGATATCGTAACATAGTTATATCAAAGAAAAAAGGGTACAGCCCCGGATCCTAATTTAAATTTTTGATACCCTTTGTTTATTTCGACCCTACATGTGACCAAAAAACAACAAACTGATGGGCCATATAACAATAACAACATAGGGAGGAATAGTGGAGTTTAGGCACACTTAAATTCCCTGCTTTCAAGACGATCCAACAAGAGAAAGAACAGTAAAATAACAAAAACTAGTTCCAAATTCCCAAAAAACACGTAAATATTTTATGATCAGAGTGCTTCATGTTCTCGAAACCGATTGATCGGTGGAGGAGGAGGAGGAGATGGATCCAAACGCAGCCTCGAACCATTGCCATCATTACCAATCACGGTCGAACCTCCGTTTCCGACAGATGTTCCAATACAGGTGCTGTAAGCACTAGGTTCCGAGGTGATGTAATGAACGGTGGGTTGGCTAGGGTTTTGTCTAAAGACTTGGCCTAAGTAGAATTCATTCATGGGATGGTGATGTGAATATTGGATTGAAGGGTGAGGAGGAGGAGGAGGAGGAGGAGGAGTGCGCGTAGGTGAAGAGTTTGGATATGGAGGCGGCGGCGGGAGGAAAGTGGTGGAGGAGCCGCCGGGAAACAGTCTTGGTGAGTAAATTGTTCTGTATAGTGATGGGTCTGCCGTTGGAAAACTGCGATATAAATTCAAATTAGATGTATATATAAAATCGAGAAATAAAAATGACATTATGTATGGAATTAGTTTTGTAATAATGGACTGAAATCTTGATGTTACAATGGAACAGTGTTTAAGTACCCGAAAGGAGAAATTCCTGGTGGAGTTATGGTATCATTTCGGTACACCAATTGACGAGCTTGGTTCAATGTCTCCGTCTCCCTCTCTTGAATGGTGCAGAACAAGTAACAAAAAAAACACGTTTACTAAAATAAAACTTAAGAAATTAAGATTCCAGTTTCATTAAATTGTCTTGTGGACAATATAGTCAAGATAGATGTGACTCCCCCTCCCCCCCCTTCTTCACGTGGACAGATTCAATCATTTATATTATCAAGACAGAGATTTTGCATGCATTTAGTTGCACGAATACAAAAGTGTACACACTATACACATATACATATATATATATATATATGTATATGTATTATATGTCAAATCATTGAAAAAAAAAATAGAGTTTCGGAAATTGACATGCCTTGTCGGTGGCGATTCATGTGTCCTCCAAGAGCTTGAGATTTGCAGAATTTGAGATTACAGAACCGGCACTTGTAGATCTTACTCTCATCTTTTCCATCCTTGCCTCCTAATTTCTTCTTTCTTTGACCTAATTACAGAACCCACCAAAAAATAAAAATTTAAAATAACAAATAATAAAAACATGAACTCTTACATAGACAACAGTAAAGTGTAGCTGATAAGATCAAGATGCCTGATTTGGACCCACACGTGACACAAACAAAAACCACGACCTTACATTTTGCCCGATTCACACTGCAATGAACGTTGTTGTATTGTTCGGATAACAACTCTTTAAAATCTGTTTCGCGTGTAACATAATTAGGGTTTTAATCATAAGAGTACAAAAACAGCACGTGGTAAACTGGACCGTCGTCCGCTCTGATCCGCCAATGTTTACGTCTCGTTTTATTTTATTTTTCTTATTTATTTAATGCATAAAACTCTTAAAGGAAAATGCGTATAAATGCATATAAATTTAACTTTGAATAATTACCAGATGAAGAACCCTCTTCGAAGGTTTGTCTAATTCCATCTCTAGAGAAATCATCAGGCAAGTTGTTGAGGTCTAAATGGTTCTCTTCATTTCTCCTGCATATTAGTTTATAACCAAAAAAAATAATCAAACAAAATTATGAAAGAAATTGAAGAGAATTGGATTATGGGGTTTGTGGTGGGGTGAGACCTACATTGTAAACAAGAGAATTTGCCCGTGGGAGAGATCAAACCTCTCTCAAAAAACTTTATTGAATTTATTACAAGACTTTCAGTTCGAGACTGCAACACAAAATTAAGAAGATAGAAAATATATAGAAGAACAAGAGAGGGGGGAAAATTATAAAGGAGAGGGGTTTCAAAGTCGTCTATCAGTTTATCTGCCACAAACCCTCTCTCTCTCTCTCTCTCTCTCTCTCTCTCCGTGTGGAAATAGAAGAAGGAAGCCGGTCTCGTGACCTTAAAAAGGGAGAGAGAGGGTTTAAGGGGTCTAAACCGGAGAGAAGATGTCATATGGGTTTAGTGTTGTGTGTGATTGTGTGTGTGAAAGAGAGAGAGAGGGAGACAGAGAGAGAGGGAGAGGGGGGGAGAGAGAGAGAGAGAGAGAGAGAGAGAGAGAGAGAGAGAGAGAGAGAGAGGAGATGAGATGAGAGGGACATTTCCTGAGTGAAAGGAGATGCTAGGGCTACTACTCTGAACCCTAGTGCCGAAGTAATTAATTCATGTTAGAAAGACAAGATCTTTGCGTTAAAAAAGAGGACTCGTTTCTTGTAAGTTGTAACGTATTATTCGTTAAATAAACATTTTCATAAATAAACCTAACCTCAAACATCAACCATAACATCTCATGCATAGGTTAATTTTCATGCACTAAACACAAATCAGAGCTCTAAAAGCATCGTCTAATCGTTACCATTTCTTAATTATATTAATTTTAAAAAAAAAAATCTCAATTGATGAAGATAGTGTAAGTACTTTTACAAAAAAAAAAAGGTCGCGGAAAGTAACATCTCACGGTTCGTTTGTCTCATTGACAAATAAACTTTCACGAAGACATGCATCACGAAGCTCGTCCTTGATGGTCCTGTGATCGCCACTTAAAACACAGAGAGAACAAGAACCAATTAAGTAGCCAAAAAAAAAAAAAAGAAAAGAGAATCGATATTATATTTTTTTGGACAATCAGGACAAATACGAAATCCTGATGTCCTAATGCTTTGAGTACACTATGTTTTTGAGAAATTTATATATATATATATTTATATATATATATATAAAGTCTTCATATAGATGGTCCCCCAACATGTATTGCAATGGGTCTCCCGGAGCATCTACACCAATTTTCTTTAATTTTATTTGTACCCTAGGGTTTGGCAAATGGGACATGCAGCTGTTACCATCACATAACTAATTATTAGGGTCTTTGTGATCTAGGTGGGATATATATATATATATATATATATATATATATATATCTTCGAGATTTTTTTGTGGCTAAAAATACATTTGCTTGTTGCAACAAAAGAAATACACACGCGCACATAGACACACATTAATAAGTTTATACCAATAATTCGACAGTCTATTGAGTTATTGCTTGATAGCATATATATACATATATATGTGTGTGTGTGTGTGTGTTGCATTATCTAATGGCAAGCGCGTTAAATATATAAACGACTTCAAAGTAATCTAATCATCTAATTTGGTTAAAGGGATTAAATATATTATATATACATGCAAGCATGGTTCTAGAAATTATTTTCCAATTCAGTTTTCTTAGTAGGGCTCGGCTCCTAATATAGGTTGATTAGGTCGGTCCATACTTTCCGTCAGCCGAATTTGAAAATAATTCTACCAGATAAACTGAATTTGGATCCTCATAGCAGATTCGAGAAAAATAAAATCAAATGACAATTACGAAAAGAAAAAGAAAATTACAAAATAAAAAAAATACTTAATGAGGGTCTAATAGATACTCGCCAAACTCCAAAGCGTGCAGATCACGTGCCTTGTTGGTGATAGTTGATACCGTAAAAGTACGGTCATGCCGTCATCGGTTTCATTTTTAACGCCGTCATTTCACGGCGTCAAGCGATCTCTCTTTGATTGTTAAGTTAATTCCGTCAATCAAACGGCATATTAATTGTATTTGTTTGTCCCTATTGGTGCTTCCGAGGTATTATCCAAAACACCTTTCTATTGTTCAAAATATTTCTATATATACTCTTGATCTCCAAATATGATCAAATGATCAAAATATCAGTATAATCACATATTAATCACATTGGTGATAACGTTAAATTTATAATGATCACACCAAATAACCATAATCACACCCTACATATCACACTAATCATTTGATAAAACCAATATAAATTTGGGTTTGAGGCGAAACACTTAAACTTAACTCTGGTTTTTCAGACGTTTTCGAATAACAATCTCCTTGATGCATTTTAATGATGTTTTGATATGAAATTATTTCGGTCACATGATCACATTTGAAAAAATTGAAAAAATATATGTTTAGAATTAGTTTTAACAATAGAAATGTATAGAAACCCTATTGATTGATGTTTTATTTACAAAAAGATATAAGAATAATATAAATGATTCATATTTAATTACACCATTATTTTTAAATCCTTAAATTTAAATATGTATTTTTTTGTTCTAAAAAAACTCAAATGGTAATATATACTCCATCTATTCGATAAAATAAGAAAACATATAACTCTCTATATGTTTTTTTCTTCCACATGACATATAACTCTATCTTCTTTTGCATTTTATAATGTACCCTTCATTTCGCATTTTATAGCTTCTGTCACGTTGCTTAATTAATTTACAAAGGGAGGGATTAATGAGATAATGGAGGAACTAATTAAGATGATTAAGGAGAGGGGCACAGAATTCGGGGGGAGGGAGAGGACAGGAAGAGATCAGGTGAGGGAAGGACCACTCTATGAATTGTAGACCACAGAAAGAGAGAGAAAGAGACAGAAGCTACTCCCAAACACCTCTCCATCTTCTTCATATAAAACATCTGCAACTCTCCTTCGGACAATCATGCTTTTCCCCAACCTCTCTCTCTCTCTCTCTCTCTCTATATATATATAATATATTCGTGGTCCTTCCTCCAGTTCTTCTTTATTTTCGTAATTTCTTTTTCTAAATTGCATGGACAATATTTTTTTTTTCTTCAAATTCTCATGTAAATTAAGCTCTCTTTTTTCCCAATCACACACACACATTTCTAGTAGTTGTTTGTTAATCATAAAGTTTTGTGGTTCGAGAAAAAATATTAAAATTTGGATTCTTATTATGCCCTTTAAAAAAAAAGATTTTGGTGTTGAATAGCTTTTTATTTTTGGCTTTTAAATTTTGGTTTTGGTTTTTCAATTTTAGATTTGGTTTATATAGTATTTGTAAAAAAAATTAAATACTAAAATAATTTTCCAAGTTTTTTAGAAAAAGTGGATTTTTTTTAAAAATTTTTTTAATTTTTTAAAAACACGAGTTCTAAAAGAATAGAAGATTATAACCAATGAAACGTAATATATGGCAGTGCTGGTTGATATCCAAAATTTCTGCCACGTGTCGACTAATTAAGTTCATGACTCAGAAAGCACACTTAAGGCCTGTATGTAGGAAGCCCATTAGGCTCATTAGATCAAACTGTTTGGCCCAGTCCAGTTGCAACATAAAAACATATCTGTATTTCTATTTTTTTTTTATAAATTTTTAATTTTCAGTTCATGTTATGTTATATACCCTTTTCACTCGATTCATTGGTGATCTATTAATGCCTTTCTTCTTTAATAAATATATTTACCTTTTTTTGCAAGTTTATTTATTTTACATTAGATTAAGTTTAAATACGGTTATATATTATCTGATTCGGCTCATATGATTCGAATGAACACATAAACACTGAAATCACATACACCATTTGGATGGAAAAGAACTATCGCATTCATAGAGATCGACACCTTACTATCCACCAGACAAGACTCAAAGTCGACCGGACCATGAGGAACAAACTAATCTCTCTACACAATCCGAGCACGAAAGAAAACAAACTATTAGAACAGTGGTATCGCATTACTTCATATACGGGAATGTAACTTTGTCCATTTATGTATGGAGTTCCGCTTAGAGTTATATCTATTCTGTAAATATTAAGACTTTAGTTTTTTCCTTTGGTATTAATTCAATCACATTGCATAGAAACAAAAAAAAGTGAAGTGAATTTCAAAAGGAAATAATGATTTTTTTAGGGCACGGAAATTGAAATTGATCGGACATACAAATGTAAAGTTGGTTGTTTGGTTTTTGTCTCCACAAAATGACATACGGAAAAAAAAAACTTGTCTTTTGATTTGACATTTGATGTGGGGAAAAAAACGACCCGTTGATATTCCCACAAAATCCACCACTTGTTTAAAAAATTTTGGACATCCTCCTTAACAATTACAAAAATTATCCTATTTGTTGTTTACAAAATTCAAATTTTCTTATAAGATTTAGATTCGAGATATAATTAAAATTTCCTTCTAAAATTTTCTAATTTTCAGAAAATTAAGATTTAAATTTTTATGTCGGAGATATACTTATATAAATTCAAATATTTTAAAATTTTGGAATATCTTTTCACTCCAATTAATTAAGTTCTTGTTTTAAAACCAGTTCATATTGTTATCTTGTATAGTCGATCAAATTCATATTTAGCAAGTTGAGCATTTTGTACACCAATCACTTCTTTTTATAAGGTATAATTCATATCTTAATTGCATCTTTATCAATTTTGAATTTTTTTTTATCCGCTCTTGTCATCATTTTTAGTTTTTTATTTTTTTTAAAGCAACTAAGATTTCAGCCTTTAGATATTCATAGAACTATTTATTTTCTTGACATCCATCGAATTTACCAAAAAACGAAACAATTATATAAACCAAAATGATTTGTTTATAAAATAATTACACGCACATATCAAATTAATGATTTAAATACAGATAATTATAATAATATATCTAAACAACTTATATAGATTAGAATTATTTATTAAAATAAAATTTAAAAAACAAGTTTTTAATTATACTGTTTATATGTTTTATGATTCACTCGTGGGCGTGCGTCCCCGTATTTATAAGAGTCACCGCCTTATATCAATTTACGAGTAGATAATGTTATGCTTCACGAGAAAATCTCATACGGAAAAAAAAATGCATCCCGTAGATGTTATATTCGAGGCAATAATACTATATTTTAAAAATAATAATATACAAAAAAATTAAATTAAGAAAGTAAATGCACAATTAGGGCAAATTGGAAGATACTAGAAAGTGGAAATTATGCTAATCAAGTGGCAGGGAATACTGTGGTCCACGACACCATATACGGTTTCGTGATTCTTTACAAACATTCATAACCATATAATATATGTGTATATATATATATATATTATCATAAGGTTTATATAACAAATGGTTGGTCCAAAATGGCTACACAAGACAAGTCCTGTGGCATATTGGTATCGTAATATAGCCATAAATTCCTACTTATTTATCTAACTTTTGTTTTGTATTGGTGGTGGGCGTTAGACGGGCATTTTAAAACTAAAATTGATTTTATTTTAATTTTGAAATGGTACTTATGATATCTATCTCTAACTAAAATCATTTTTCTTTATTTTTTAGATTATTTTGTGAAATAAATTCAAGCTCAATTTTAGTTATATGAATTTTGATTATTTATATATTGTATTTATTTTATGATATTATTACAAAATGTATTTCGAAGTTCAGAATTTGAAAGTAAAGTTGCAGAATTCCTAAAAAAAAAAGTAAAGTCGTATTTTTTAAAATATTTTCAAAATATAACAGTTAGCCGTATAACGGTAACTTCCAAAACGTGAACCGCGAAACGCTAAAAAAGAACGTTTACCACTTTTTGCGTCGAAACCTCAGCGTTCACGCGAATTGTGCGTCAGGCAAACGCGGAACTAACGGTGAACTCGTCCACTATACACGTGTCACAATCTGAACGGTAGTATATTCAAGGGGGCGGTCCAAGTGCATGGAATTTTTATTCTCCCCCATAACTACTTTTTTTTTGTTAGAAACCCTAAAAAATCATATAATGCTAATTTAATTTAAAAAATGGTTATATTTTACACAATCTTTTTAGAATAAGGTTTATATATTTTGAATAGATCGCTAATACCGATGAGATTTTTCGCGGGAGGCAGGGGACCGCCAACGTGAATGAATAAATAAAATATTCACGGGACAGAAATTAAAGATAATTATTAAGATATAGATCTACCGTGCAGGTTCAGTTCAGCCTCACGCAATTAAATATCACGATTATTATTTTTATAATTGGACTGACTTTTAGTTTTAAAGAGTTTATTTTTTTTTTTGTCTAGGAGTGCTTGGATTTATACTGAAACCATTCAACGATTCTCGCTATATCTATAAATTTTTAACTGATGAGACATTGAAAAAAACATTAATTTTATAATCTAATACAATATTTTATATATATATATTTCGTTATATAAGATATGGTTAGGGAGGCGCAATATTAGAGAGAAGGGACCGAACCAATCCCGTATCTGTTTTCTCGCCACACACTTTCACGCTCTTATCTCACCCTCCTCCTCCTCCTTCCTCTTCCTCTTCTTCTTCTTCTTCTTCTTCTTCTTCTTCTTCTACATTAATACCCACAAAAAAAAAACATCTTCTCATGCTTCAGATCTGAATTAACATTCTTTCTCCCTTCAAGATCGGATTTTTTTTCCTTTGTTAGCTTTTTTATCGCCATAGCTCACCTTGCATTTGAAGCTGTACAGTTAACCTTAAGGTACTTTCTCTCTCTCTCTTGTATTGGTTCATGAGCTTCCCAGGAATTCAAAGGAGAAAGTTTCCACGATTCACAGATCTGAAGAGCACCCACTTGTAAATTCTCGTCATTTGTTTCTTCTAATGAAAAAAGATCTTTTTTTTCGCCGTCTGTAGATCTGGAATCTGATTTCAGTCCTCTGTTTCAGAGAGTTGTAATAACCCTCCCTGACCTGTCCAGGCTTTCTCCTTAAGAAATTGTCGGATCCGAAGGAGAAGTTTTGTAATGATCCTCGAAAATATCCCTACTTTTTTTTGTCCTATTTCGCTTCCTCCGCCGAGGCGTTTCGTTTCAGGGAACAGACCACTATTCAAAATTTGCAGATCTGTTGCCCATTTCTTCAAATTATGAAATTAATCCATTTTTTAATCCATGGATCGTGATGAACAGGTAATAATTTTTTTCGAGTTATTTATTCAAAAGAGAACGGAGAGAGATGAACCACTGGGCCGTACAACCAAACGCGTTCGCGACAGGGGAGGGCATGAGGAGCTCCGTTACGGTTCTGGAGCGGGACCAGACCGTTATCTGTCCGAAGCCACGCCGTGTCGGTCTCGTCCGTAACTCCACCGCCTTGCCCGACCATCCTGTTCGATCTCTGAGATGTCACTTCAGGTACCCCTTTTTTTTTTCAATCTCAATCCTCAAAACCATTTTCCACTATTCGATCGACCGATTCGTCACCACCCTTTTGCCGTTTCAGCCACCAGCTGGAGCTATGTGAACCAAAACCAGAAATCGATATATTGGATTTCATCCTGAAAAAGGTATATCCTTTTTCGATTTTATCATTTCTCTGATGGGTTATTGTTGGTGGGTCGGATTTGATTTTGCGGTTTGATTTATTAGGAAGATGGATTTGGCGAAGAAGGAGAAGTTCATGCGAAAGTGTTAGAATCGTCGGCGTCCCCTTTTATCTGCGGATCGCCGCCGAGCAGAGTGGCTAACCCCCTAACACGAGATGCTCGTTTCGGAGACGGCATCGATATTAAAACGGTGTCGTCTCGCAGCAGCTATGGGAGCAGACCCTCCGTTAGGATCGAAGGGTTCGATTGCCTCGACAGGGACAGCAGGAACTGCAGTGTCCCCGCCTTGGCTTAAGGCAGTTGACATAGCCTGAGTGAGCGAGGTCTCGTTGAGGAATTTCAGAGTGTAAATATGTTATTTTTTACGGGCGGTAAGTTTTTTTTAAGGAAATGGAATTTTGTCGAAGTGAGAAATAAAAAAAAAAGGTCGGTTAGATTTAGATCCAATATTCTATTAGGTGGGTTTTGGTGATCGAGAGATCTTTTGTATGATATTTTGTAAGTAAAAAAAAAAACAAGTGTTTGGTCGAATGAGAGCTAATACTTTTGTTACATATATTTTTTTGTTATTTTATGGTAATAATATGTATCCAAAAGAATATGTTACAAGTGTTTGATCGAATGAGATCTTTTTTTTTTTTGTTACAAAAGAATATGTTTAAATTAAACAAAGGAATTATTCATATTTATTTGTAAATTTTCTCCTCTTTGTAACATGTAAGCCGTATCTTCTCTGCCTCTCACCTTCATTGATATTTTGCTTAAAGCCGAAGCGAATCTTCTGCTTTTTCTGTTGGGGGTAATGGCAGGAAAAGGAAAACAAATTAATTATTAAATTTATGATGATGTATTTCATGAAATAAAAAATATTAAAAAATTTAAAAGAAAAATAGGAAATAGAGACTGCAAAAGTCTGACAGTTACGGCTACTTACAAAAGATGTTCCCAGCAAAATATATATTAATTTATATATAAATTTGATAAAAATATCAAATATAATATAATTTCCCGAATTTTCTCGATGATAAATTATATATGCGATTAGTAGAAAACGTACCATTTTATAACATTAAGCATTGTCGAATTACCTATATATATTATTCACGTGTTTGAAGTGTTTCGCCTGCTTCTTTAGAATTTGGGCCCAACTAGAATATGGTCCAAGAAACGGCCCATTAAATATTTGGATTTTGTAATTATAGATTTTGGCCCAACTTGCAAGCCGCCGGGGTTAAATCCTTTTACTTTTACTTTTTTTTAATATTTTACCTATTCAACCCAATGCCTAAATTCTTTTTCAAAAACTAAAATAACACCCTATTTTTTGTCTTTATAACCCAATTGACATCCACACCAATACCATCCAAAGAAAGTGATACATGTTTAACATATTTCGGTCGTATAAATAGTTTTTCTATATATATTAATTATGGGCGCTAATTGGATCATAATGTTAATAACGAGAAAATGTGTGAAATTCGGATTTGAAATTTTTTTTCAATAAATAATTAAATATTTGTGGTTAATGGGATAAAAAAAAAAAATTGGAGAGAGATGGAGACACCTTTGTCCACTTGTGAACGCTTGTGGTCCTTGAGCTCTTTTTAGACATCTCTTCAACTTGCAAAAGAAGGGGGATTGCCTCCTCGTGCTTCTACTTCCATAATGACTTTTTTTTTTTTTTGGCCTTCGTAATTAAATTATTTTTAACAATTAAATTTCCACTTGTTTATATTTTGTCGTATATGCGTCGACGTCGTCGATTTCGAGCTCAAGTGGGCTCTGAATTAGACAACCAAATTTATTATGGATAATAAACTTGAGATTTTATTTTGTTTTTAATATCATATAAAATACATCTGTACCCAGCGCTGTTTTTACAATAAAGAAATGAGATTTTGGGTAGAATATGGAATGATCTTGCTAAATTCGATATAATCCAGGTTAGAATTTTTTCGAATTTTAAAAACTAGAAAGGTAGTTAAGATTTTATATATCTGATTTTTAAAAAAATTCGATAAAAGCATAAATCTATAAAATCTAGATAAAAACCATTTCATTAAAAAAATCAAATAAAAAACCATAAATCTATTTTTTTTTTTGTATTTTGACCTTTTATAAAAGCTATAAAATAAAATAAAAATTAAAAAAAGGATCGTTCATAGCCTTAATTGATTTATTTTCAAAAAGATGTGTCTAATTGGTGAACAACTCGGCGGAATATAGATATTCAGACAATAATGGTGGACACGTAGGGCAAGATTCAGACACATGGAGTACCCTCCTTAATCAAGCATTAGTTTCGTGAATCCAATGTCGGCAACATCTCTCTCTCTCTCTCTCCCTTTGGCCCAAACCCATGTCTCCGTACACATTCCTCCAACCCATCTCCTCCTTTAAATGTCCCCTCGCTTCACAAATCCGCAAACCACCACAAAAAGTTTGAATCCTTATACAATGAAGAGGCAAAGGAAGAAGCAGGGACCCACCACGTCGGCGGCGTCGGCGGCGGAGAAGAAGATCAAGACGGAGGCGGAGGCTGGGATGAAGACGCCGGAGAATTCATCGGCGGCGGCTGTTGCGGCGGCAGCGGCGGCGGTTGCGGAGGAGGAGGAGATGGGGTTGTTGGGATTGGGATTGAAAGGTGGTGACGTGGACGAGCAGATGTCGTGGGGAACGGTCTGGATGCCGTTTTGGGACGTGGAGTTTGTCGGAAGGAATTACGGGGTTTTGTTCAATGACGTCTTATGGGACGACGATATTTGGAATTTGAGGACCGTCACCGAAATACCGCAGCATGTTAATAAATAGGGTTTAATTAAATTAATTACATTAATAGTTTTGTTTTTCTTCTCTCGGTCCCATTTTGTTGGAGGAGATCGTCAGATTATCAGTTCAGTCTGACAGATTTCTTGTCCCAAAAAAAAAAATCGGTCTTTAACTTGTTATTGCAACCTCAATTATGTTTTTTCCCCTTATGCTTATCTTATCTTCGTGCTCCGAATCTGAAATTCTCTTACAATTCGTCGTCATTTTCCGCAATTCAAACTGTTATCTAATCTCTTATTTCATAGTTTTACGTCTTGGGTTGCATTTTGAAATTTAGATGGACCGTTTATAAGAAAAAACAGAGGAACAGAACAAAGCACAAAAAAAATATGGAAAAAAATATATATTCAAAACGGAAGTTTTTCATTGGATGGAAATTACGACGGATGAAAAACTGAAACATTGCAAAGAAAGTGAATTAAAAAAAAAACAACAACAAATATGCCCAAACAACATCATGATCATGCCGATTTGGGGTTTTTCTTCTTCTTCGGATTAGATCAAGCACAAAGATGGTTGATTCAGGATTTAGGGTTTCTTATTAGAGTTTTTTTCAGTTGCTGGGGGGCTTGTAGGCAATGAAACTGATGCACTGAACTTGACGGACGTTGTCGAATCCGATAATGCGGATGTGGCCATCAGGGTGAGCGGTCCTGGCCTCTTGCAGCTCCTTCATGACCTGAGCCGAGTCCGTGCATCCGAACATCGGCAGCTTCCACATCGTCCAGTACCTCCCGTCGTAGTATCCGGGAGACCGGTGGTTCTCACGGTACACGAACGCGTTCTGTATTAACCAAAAACCACGTTGGAAATTATCATATATTAGGGCATACATGTATATTGTGTATATATATATATACATGTAGGATTAGTATGTATATGTACGAGTTATGTATATATGTATAGTGTATATACCCCCAATTCGAACTCGAGGCAAGGGATCCAGTTGTTGCGGAGAAGGTAGTCAACTTCCTTAGCCAATTCTGCATCGGTCAAGTCAGGAAGGTACGACAATGTCTCGAACTTCCTCAGTCCAGTCGTAGGCCACACCTATATATACAGATAACAACATAGCACTTCGTAAGAGCGTATATACATATATATATATATATATAGTACATTATGAAACCGTAAAAGGTGTTTTAATTATGGTTAACCCTAGTTATATATCTCTAAGAGGGTGATGATGTATAATATATTTGAAGGAACCATACAAGGTATTTTAATTATAGTTAACCCTAGTTACATATATATTACAAAGATTTTGAATTATGTTTGGTATAATGAAAAGGGGAAGAGAGAATTGAAATGAGCAAAAACAAACACAAATTAACCTATAATATTTAAAGTAACCATATATACAAGGTATTTTAGTTATATATATATATAGTTAGCCCTAGTTACAGTTTATTACAAAGATTTTGTAGATATGTTTTGTAATGAAAAAAGGGTAAGAGGGAATTGAAGTAGTGAACCTTCATGCAGTTGACTTTGCTGCCGTTGCTGGCCAAGGAAGTGATGTCGGCGTTGTTCTTGCGGGTGACGGGGAAAGCGGCGGAAGATTTCAGGCCGGTGAACGGAGCAATGACGGCGGACTGAGCTCGGCTCACGCCGGAGACGGTGGCCGCCGATGAAACGATCGATGAAGCCATCCCGGATCTTCCTTCTCTTACTCTATATTTATATTAAAAAAAACTTTTTTGATTTGTGCGATCAGCTTGAGAGAGGATTAGCTCTGTTACCTATGCGCTCTTTATATACACAATTCGAGCTTTTACGAGTTCCTCGTCAAGAAACTTTTTTTTTTTGTTATTTTTAATTCTGTGATTTTGTTTTCCGAAATCCAACGGTGTAAAATCGATGTCAGAGGGATTAGGCATGGATGTCCACAGGATTAAAAGAGCCCCAAGGCTTCGAGGTGAAAAGCCTTATCGTAACGCGCTCCACACATTCCGCCACGTGGCACGAACCCATTATCTTATCTCATCTTCATCGCCAAGGTTCACAGCTTATATTATTAGCCTTTCGTTTCTCCATCAATAAGATGATCGGTGTTTTTGCCTTCTCTCTTCTTTCACTTATTGTGTAAAACCCTCAAACAAATATGAATAAACCAATCACCTGAGCTTATTTATTATATACTTTATCTTTGTAACATTTGTCATAATCATTATATATATATATAATGTATGTGTGTGTGTGCAATTTAGCTGAATTCAACAGGCGATTTGTATGTAATTTAAAATTGACAAATCATATGAAAGTTCGGCAATTTCATTTTTCTACATAAAACGGTCCATTTCGATATGTATACTCTAAGATACGAATAGTATATACTCGATTTTGCACGACAAGAGCTATTAAACAGTGGAAGACAAATTCTTATGTCCCAATCAATGTTACAACATTTTAGTTTTTTTTTTCTAACCATCTATTTCACAACATTTCCCTTTTGCAGATACAAAACGCTTACACAATCAGATAATCATCTTTTTTTCTCTTTAATTTTGAACATCCAATTAATTTTTTTATTGTACATCTAAAAAATGTCAATTATCTGACTCGTGGATGTACCAGATAGTGACTAGACCATTATTATTATTATTATTATTATTATTATTATTATTATTATTATTAGGTTCACTTGATGTGATCTGAAAGGTGTGTTTTTGTTTGGGCTTGGGGCAGCCTTTATGCGGATGAGTGAGCCCACTGATCAAGCCCACCGTCTAATATTACTCTCAAACCAAATTTATAATCCATGGTTTTAAATAGGATTAATTGATAAATTATGTTGCAGAGTATGGGGTTTTAGCATTATATAGTATATATCTCCATGGTATAATATATATATATATATATATATTTATATTTATCTGTGTTTCAAACAATATAATTTTTTGTCACGGTGGTTTTTTTTGGTATTTTCTTATTTTCACAGACAGTCTGATTTGTTTCTATATTTTAAGTTGCATGAAAAAAAATTATGAAAAAAAGTGGTATATATCATCGATTTAGAGGCAAGATGTATCTATTGTCTCTCACACATAAGGGTGGATATGGGTCAAATATCTAAAAAAATCGAGGTATTTGAATTTGTATCCGAAAGATTCAAATATCTCGTTTTAAGATTTATGTTCGGATTTGAGGGTTATGAGTATCAGTAATAATATTCGGATATTTGTGAATATCCGAATCTTTGTAGATTTGGATTTGAATTTGAATGGAGATAAATACCCTAAAATCGGATATCTATATGTATAATTTTGGGCAACCCTACTCACAAATGTGATAACAGAGTACATGCAAAAGACTGGTCTGAAGAGGATTATCTCTATTAACCAAACCATGGACATATATATGATGAACCGTCTATTCATTCAATCCGTAAGATATTTTGTCCCCAATAACGTTTATTTTATTTAATCATGCATTTTATTAGAAAATGTTTAAAACATCATCCCATGTGGCTCGGTCACTCCCTAACTCGACATTTCCAATTTCTCCTGTCAGAATTATTCAACATTTGTTTGACTCTCCGACCATAATTCCATATTAGTTTATTTACAGCACACAAAAAATGTAGAAAAACATTTTCCCGATTATCTTTTCAGTAAATTACACGTATTCTATATATATATATA